ACAGATAAACCTTGGAGCGGAGTAGAGCTGGAGCATGGATTCACTGTGCAGTAACAGCCCAGACACGGGATTTACCGTGTTCGTACAATTTTCAGCTGGATGCCCTAAAAATGGAACCCGATATAAAAGGGGTATGTTGCCTAGCCGCCATACACAGATCTCAAGAGAAGCACATGACAATGAGGAGGATTCTCTCCATTTTCGGGGCTAGAAAGCTGACGACAGAAGAGATATTCCGCTGCAGTTTCGAGCTGTCATCATCTTCTTCTTCGGTTTTTTTTTGCTATTTCCCTAAGATGGGCTGTCTCCTTCTTTTGCCCATTGTATTTTCTTCTTTATTCATGAGCTAAACCTCATTTTGGGGGAGATTCGCATGTTGTAACTGCTATGAAACTGAACTTCTAGCTGCTATATTCGTTTTTTAATGAAGTTGTGTTTATCTCTTATATCCTATTGAACATTGTTGGCCACTTTGTTCTATTTGCTAGCTTCTGTATTGACCTAGGAGGGTTTACGGTTTGCTGACTTGTTTCATTAGTGATTAGTACTTTTCTATAGTATTTGTGGATTCTCAGGAATGGGGTCCCCTAATCATGCCTAGAACTTGTTTTTATTGCTTGGAAACTTAGCAACGGGAGTTGTGGGTATCCATGTTTGGATGTCTCATAAGAGAACCAAGTCGAGTTGGGCACTAATGAATCTTTGTAAGCTAGAGGGTAGGTTGAGAAGTTTGTGAAAGCATGTTGAATCTCCCCCATTTTTCCATATCTGTTCACTTCCCCTTTTCGCATTATGTGCTGTTTCATCTTCTTGTTATCAGCTCTACGAAGTGTGTCTACTACTGAGATATGTTTACTGCTTTTTTATTTTATTTGTTTAAGTTACGACACCACATCTATATTTCTTTGTTTTACACTTTTGGTATCTGTGAACATCGTTTAAAATGTAATCCAAAGTCCCTGTGGATTTGACCTCGTTTCATACTACAATCGACAATTTCGTGTATACTTGCACGTGTTATCAGCACGGTTGTGTGGACGCAACACATATCAACACCAATAGTTTCATCAGAAGAAGTACTAGGCAAGATAGATCAGTAGAGCCAGAAACATCAAAAGCACAGGGCATAACAACATCAGGAAATGGATCCACAGGTGTATCATGCACGAAAACATTGTGAAAGGGAAATATGTGTTCATGGAAAACAACATCCCTGTAAATAAAAATCTTGCCACGTTCAATATCAAGTAAACGAAAACCCTTAACTCCTTGAGGATACCCCAAGAAAACCGAAGGTATAGCCTGAGGATGAAACTTAGAATGATGAGAGGGCAAAGTAGAAGCAAAACAGAGACACCCAAACACCTTTATCTAAGAGTAATCAACAATTTCACCATGAAGCTGATAATAAGATGTATCCTAATTAAGATAGGGAGATGAAGTATGATTAATAAGAAAACAAGCGGTGAGAACACACTCTCCCCAAAACTTAATGGGAACACTAGACTGAAAATAGACAGATCGAGCAACATTTAACAGATGTTGATGTTTCCTTTCCACAACATAATTTTGCTCACACCTACCAACACATGAAAATTGATGGAAAACCCCTTTGGCATGAAAAAAAATCAGTGAAGGACAATTCTGGAGCATTATCTGATCTAAACTGCTTAATGCACTTGCCAAACTGTGTCTCAACGAGTTGAAAAAATCTAGGAACAACAGTCAAGGCATCGGATTTCTGACGGAGCAAATATACCCAAGTGTAACGGGAAAAATCATCTACTAAAGTTAAAAAATAACGAAATCCAGCATGGGTATGAGACTAATAAGGACCCCAAATATCGCAGTGAAGCAAATCAAACACAGCATTAGCAACACGATTATGAGACACAAAAGACAAGCGACGTTGTTTTGCTAATGGATAGATTAAGCAAGGATCAACAGATGCACTGTCATTAGATCGAAAATGCAAAACATCTTTCAAAGCAAGTAAATGTTTATGAGAGGGGTGCCCCATTCTAGCATGCCAAGTGGGGATAGAAACCATACAAACAGTGTGTACAGAAGAATTTTCACTGTGCAAAGACTTATGTGGCCTAAGAATGTAGAGACCATTCCAAAACACCCCCTTGCCAATCATCTTCAATGACGACTTGTCCTGAATAAGACAAGAATCATCAAGAAATTTAACCATGAGAGAGGTATCACGAGTTAAGGCACCAATTGATAACAAATTGAATCGAAACTCAGGAACATATAACACATTTTGTAGAACAATATCAGAAGAAAACTGAACATCCCCAACAAATTGCATCAGAAATCGAGACTGATTTGGCAAAGTAACAGATATACTAGACACGGGCTTCAAGAACATAAAATAATCTTTGAAATTACATATATGTGCAGAAGCCCTGGAATCAATCACCCAATAATTTGCCAAGCTACTAGAGGACAAAATGGTTGAACATGAACCTGCCACATGAGTGGTGCTAGAAGAAGCAACCGAGCTATCTTTAGCTTTGGTAAGATGTCATTGAAGGAGATTCAACAAAGTCTGGCATTGCTCAGTATTTAGAGAAGCCAAAGAATCAGCTATTGCAACAAGATAAGCCGATTTCGACGTGTTATCACTAGCAGCAGATGCAGACACAGAGGATTGTGTCGATTTGGATTGTGAAGAATTACGTGAGCGATACCCCGGAGGATAGCCATGAAGCTTGTAGCACCGATCAATCGTGTGCCCTTGAAGACCACAATGAGTACAGACGGATCGTTCCCGATGCTTCCCTTGAGAATGAGAAGCATGAGAATCCGTTGAAAAAGAAGACGAGCGTGCCAATAGAGCAGTAGGCGAAACAAGAGGCAGGGAGGTCAGTGCCCACTATTGAGACTCCTGAGTAATTAGGGCAAAGGCCCGATTAAAAGACGGCTCCAACTCCATAATAAGCAATTGAGCCATAGTTTGGCTAAAAGAGTCATTTAACCCCATCAAGAACGTCATCACGTGCTCCGTCTGAAAGTAATCAAAAATAGCTTGAACACCACTACAAGAGCAATGTCCACATGTGCAAGAAGGATGATATGAAGCCAATTCAATCCACAAAGTCTTCAGAGTGAAATAAGAGCTGACAAAAGACTGATCTTTGAGCAAGGTTGAAAGTTCACGATTCAATTAAAAAATCTGCGGTCGATTTTGGCATTGGAATCTCTCCTTGAGATCCAACCACATTTCGCGCACTGAATCAGTACACAAGAGACTCGTAGATATCTCTTTGGACAGAGAATTCAAGATCCAAGCGATAACCACGTTATTGCAAATGATCTATGAATTGAGTAATTCACTAGTCGGTCGCTCAATAGAACCATCAACAAAGTCGATTCTGTTCTTGACGGTGAGGGCTATGGTCATAGAACGACTCCAAGTTTTCATCCGTAAGCAAACCAGGCACAAGAACAAGGCTTGTGTGATCAGAATGATGAATGAAATAAGGATTTTTGCATTTTGATCAAGAGGAGACGCTGTTGGAATTGCATAATTGACTGGAACACGAGTCGGAATCGGAGGCGTAGGCGGATCAATTTGAGTAGAAGTCATGGCGAAGAAGCATGAAAAAAAGGCGGAGAAAACAAGGAACGCCAAAGAAATGGCGGGGCCAGCAAAGCACTCTCAAGAAGTTTGACTTATTCCATCTAATACCATATTAGAACCAAGGAAGTAAATAAATCTTGCTTGCTTTATTAATTGATAATGTGGCAGTATATATAGGCCACACACAAGCAGTTACAGGAGTTACAACACATAACCTAATTAAATTACTATATAGTGGTAAACTTAAGTCTTAATAATCAATATAAGGTCCAAAACATTATTTTAAAAATAAACCGAAAAAATAAATCTTAAATTAAAAAAAATACCAAATCAAATTTTAAATTGAAAAATATGAACAAAAAATCTATAATATGTAAAAAAAATGAAGATTAATCTATGAAATATTCAAATCTAAGATATTTGATAATAATTTAGGAGAAAGGGAGAAAAATTAGTTGGATAAGTTTTAAAATAAAAAATTAAGATAGAGAAAGATGCAATGGGATGATTTTAAAGAAAATCCAAGAAAATCCGGGGAGCGTGGATCCAAATAGTTGAGTTTAAGAATAAACATGCGGAAAAAATGAAAAATGGTTGGATTTTTAATGTGCAAAAGAAAGTGGTATTTGAATATATTGAAAAAACCGTTGAATATACGAATTTAACATCCGAAAATTAAATTGTGTATTAAGAAGTTGAAACTTATTTTATATCTGTAACAAATTCATTATTTATTTCCTAAGTCGTTTTTTGTTTCAATTTTGTGTGTTAAAGTTACATAATTGTTAAGTTGAAGTTATACTTCAAATGATGAGTTTTTCTTCATGTTGTTAAAGTTGAACTTAATTCATGTGTGAGGAGTTTCATATTTACACAATTATAAATAGTTGTTGTTTTGTTCATTTGAGATATCCAAGAATACCACAATTGGGTATTCTCCTCATCTCACAAGAATTCTCTCTTCTTTTGAGTTGTTATTCTTCATTGTGTCGAGAGTTAGTATTTAAGTGTTCTGCCAGATTCGAGTAGTTTGAAGTTGTTGTTCTACTGGAGTTAGTCGTTGTATCCAACTGAGACGATCACTATAGTCTGCTAGCAACTTGTGCATAGTGAATAATTTCTTCATATAAGTGCTATTGAAGTGTGCCTTTACTATATTTATCAAGTTTTGCTGTTCATCAAGTTGTTAAGATCTGTAATTGTTTGTAGCCAGTTATGTTGTAAATTGTTTGCCAGTATTATTTAGTTTACATATACAGCGTATGTTTACCAACAATCTGAAGATAATTAAGATGGCTGCAAACACTTCCACCAACGCTCCTGCGATGACGGGATCGACCATTGTCAAATCTCACGCTGAAAACCAAAAGAAGTTTAAGGGAGAAAATTTAAAAGATGGCAGTAGAAGATGATCTTCTTCCTCACCATCTTGAATCTTGCTCACATCCTAAAGGAAGTATGCCCAACTACTCCATTAGAAGCAATCACTCCTGAAACTGAAGCTACCAAGCAAGCGTGGTTGCATTCGGACTTTCTATGTCGCAACTACATTCTAAGTTGCTTGGATGACATCTTGTATAACGTCTATTGCAATGCCTTTGATACTTCAAGGCAATTGTGGGAGGCATTAGACAAGAAGTATAAGCTGGAAGATGCTGGTACTAAGAAATTCCTTGTTGGAAAATTCTTAGATTGTAAAATGGTTGATAATAAATTGGTAGTCAATCAGTTGGAAGAATCACAAATTATCATTAGTGATCTATAAAGTGAAGGATTGGTCATTAATGAACCATTCCAAGTTGCTGCTGTGATTGAAAAATTGCCTTCTGCTTGGAGAGAATTCAAATTTTATCTGAAACACAAGCGAAAGAAGTTGTCCATGAAAAATCTTACTGTGAAACTCCGTATTGAAGAGGACAACAGAAAGGGAGACAAAGAGCCACAAAAAGTTGAAGCTAAAGCACATATTGATGAAGCTTCAAGGCATCATCCAAAGAAGCAACATTCCAAGACAAAAAACGTGAATCTTGGACTAAGGAATGACGCTAACAAGCGCATTCGTGGAATCTACTGCGTTTGTGGTAAAAGTGGTCATATCGCTGCAAACTTTAGACATAAGAAGGGACAAAGCTCCAACAACCAGGCCAACATTGTGGAACATGACAACCTAATAACTGTCATCTCTGAGGTAAATATGACCTTTGACACCAAAGGCTGGTGGATTGATACTGGTGCTACTAGGCACGTTTGTGGGGATAAATCATTGTTCACCACTTATGAGATGCTAGATGGTAGTGATAAACAGTACATGGGAAATGCTTCAACAGCCTCAGTGGAAGATAGCTGAAAAGTCCTGCTAAAATGGACTTCTGGAAAGAGACTTACCCTCACTGATGTGTGGCATGTGCCAGAGATTCGAAAGAATCTTGTGTTAGGAACCCTACTAAATAAAAACGAGTTCAAGCTTGTATTTGAGTCAGATAATTTTATTCTAACTAGGGGGTATGTATGTGGGAAAGGGCTATCTGAATGATGACATGTTTAAATTGAATGTACTGACACAAGTGCCCAAGAACAATAATAATAATGACAACTCTTTTGCTTATATTGTTGATTGTGTGATGTATGACATTCTAGGCTAGGACATGTCAATTATCATGCAGAGAATGGTAAGTTTAGAACTATTGACTAATTTTAACATTTATAATAGATACAAATGTGAAGTTTGTGTTGAATCAAAGTTTTTAAGAAAGTCATTTTCATCTGTAGAAAGAAGTAATTAGTTACTTGATTGAATCCACAATGATGTATGTGATTTGAAAAGTACTCCCACAAGAGGTGTTAAGAGATACTTTGTCACATTCATTGATGATTGTAGTAAATATTACTATGTATATTTATTATATAGTAAAGATGAGACCTTAGATGTTTTCAAAACATATAAGGCAGAAGTTGAAAATCAACTTGAGAGGAAATAAAAGTGCTTAGATCAAATAGAGGTGGTGAATATGATTCATCATCACTTTTTGAATTTTGTGAATTGAATGGTATAATCCATCAAACTACGACACTTTATTCACTACAACAAAATGGTGTAGCTAAAAGAAAAAACCGAACTTTGAAGGACATGGTCAATTGCATATTAAATAGTTTAGGTTTACCCAATAATTTGTGGGGGGAGGCTTTGCTTACAGCAAATTTTATCTTAAATAAAATTCCACATAAGAAGAGTAATAAATCATTTTATAAAGTGTGGAAAATGAAGTTACCTTCATATAAAATACTAAAAGTGTAGGGGTGTTTGGCAAAGGTACAAGTTCCTTTACCAAAAAAGATAAAACTTGGATCTAAGATAATTGATTGTGTCTTTAGAGGCTATGTTATGCATAGTGCTGCTTATAGATTCCTGGTGATTAAATTAGATATATCTGATATTAATCATAATACTATCATGGAATCTATTGAAGCTAAATTTTTTTAGGATATATTTCCTTTTAAAGAAGAAAGACGGAAAGGTAATTGTACCAAAAGAAATCATGAGGCTAGCTCTTCAAAAGGTCAAAACGATCAGGAAACTGAGATCGAACCTAGAAGAAGCAAAAGAACTAAGAAAGCTACTTCCTTGAGACTTGATTTTATAACTTATATGATAGATGGGGAGTCTCAAAATTTTCAAGAAGTTATGTAATCTCCAGATGCACCTTATTGGAGAGAAGCTATCAATAGTGAGATAGAATCCATTTTGCAAAACAATACCAAGGTATTGGTTGATTTACCTCCTGGAAGTAAACCAATTGAAAGTAAGTGGATTTTTAAAAGAAAGCTAAAAGTTGATGACACTATTGTTAAATATAAAGCTCGTTTAGTAGCTAAAGGTTATCGTCAGAAATAAATGCTAGATTTCTTTGATACTTATTCTCTAGTAACGATGATTACATCTATAAGGATGTTAATTGCTATAGCAACTTTACGAAATTTGGAAATATACCAAATGGATGTAAAAACTGTGTTTTTAAATGGAGATTTAGATGAAGAAATATACATGGAACAACCTAAAGGGTTTGTTATAAAAAGACTTGAAAATAAAGTTTGTAAACTTGTCAAGTCTCTTTATGGGTTGAAACAAGCACCCAAACAATGGCATGAGAAGTTTGATCACACTATGTTATGTAATAGATTGAAGATAAATGAGTGTGACGAATGTGTCTACGTTAAAACCATAAATCAAGATTGCGTCATTGTTTTTTTATATGTGGATGATATGTTGATAATGAGCATAACTAGAAGCATCATTGATTCCACTAAAAGGATGTTGAATTTCAACTTTGATATGAAAGACCTTGGTCTTGTTGATGTTATCCTTGGAATTAAAATAATAAGAAATCCAAGTGGATATATACTTTCTCAATCTCATTACATAGAGAAAGTGTTGAGAAAATTTGGTTATTTGAGAGTAAGTCGGTAGTTAGTCCATTTTATTCAAATTGTAAGTTGAAGAAGAATAATGATGAAGGTGTATCTTCTCTAAAATACTCTAGAGTTGTAGGTAGTTTAATGTACATAATGAACTGTACAAGACCTGATATTGCCTATTCAGTAGGAAGATTGGCAAGATACACTAGCAATCCTGAGCATGATCATTGGAATGCGTTTGTCAGAGTTTTAAAGTACTTGAAGTACACTTTAGACTATGAATTGCATTAAACGAAATATCCATTTGTACTAGAAGGATTTAGTGATGTTAACTGGATCTCTAATAGCATAGAGACTAAGTCAACCAGTGGGTATATATTTACCTTAGATGGGGCAGCTGTGTCATGGAAATCTTCAAAACAGACGTGTATAGCACGATCTACTATGGAATCAGAGTTTATAGCTCCTGATAAAGCTGGAGAAGAAGCAAAATGGCTTCGAAACTTTCTTGAAGATATTTCATTGTGGCCGAAGCCTGTAAGTGTCATATGTATTTATTGTGACAGCTTAGCAGCCTCAATGAGAGCTAAGAATATTGTCTACAATGGGAAGTCATGACACATAAGACGTAAACATAATTCTATCAGGCAATTACTCTTTAATGGAATAATTTCCATTGATTATGTAAAATCAAAAGAGAATGTTGCAAATCCTTTAACCAAAGGATTGTCAAGAGAGCAAGTTGCATATACATCGAAGAAAATGGGACTAAAGCCTATGAAATGAAGTATCTAGTGGTAACTTAACCTAGTTGACTAGAGATCCCAAGATCTAGGTTCAATAAGCAAACTAACTGGATAATTCATAGTTGACACACTAAGAAACTTATAGTTTCTTCCCATTTTTATGATGTTATGTGTGTGATCTGTTGATGTTAAGTTCATATTGATATCTTGATTACAAGAAGAGGAGTGGCAGAATACTTTTAATCAATATCGCCTATGTGAGAGTAGAATTTGTCAGTTCTATGAGAACTTTTCAAATGGCTTATGTTCTCTAAAGCTCTCATGAATTCAGGATCTTGTCTAGGACTAAAATTGACACAACCGTATAGAACTCAAAGATACAAGATAAATTATGTGTAATATTTGTTGTCTTAATTTATCATGTGAATGGTAGTTCCAAAGCAGGTTCTCACTATTTCTTCAGTAAATTCGATAAATATTCACTAAGGAAGGTTCAAGTTCAAAAGACACCTCTCATTGCATAACTTATCTATTTGCTCTCAACGTCTTGGTTTTTGTTTTGTCTGTCTCACTTTCTTTCATATTGGACATTGTTGGATTTTTAATGTGTGAAAGAAAGTGGTATTTGAAGATATTGAAAAAATCGTTGAATAATACGAATTTAACATCCAGAAATTAAATTCGTGTATTAAGAAGTCAAAACTTATTTTATATTTGTAACAAATTCATTATTTATTTCATAAGTCGTTTTTTGTTTCAATTTTGTATTATGTAACTTTATTTTGTTAAAGTTACATATTGTTAAGTTCAAGTTATACTTCAAATGAGAAGTTTTTCTTCATGTTGTTAAAGTTGAACTTAATTCATGTGTGAGGAGTTTCATGTTTACACAACTATAAATAGTTGTTTTGTTCATTTGAGATATCCAAGCATAACACAATTGGGATTCTTCTCATCTCACCAGAATTCTCTCTACTTTTGAGTTGTCGTTCTTGTTTGTGTTGAGAGCATGTATCTAAGAGTTCTGCTAGATACGAGTAGTTTGAAGTTGTTGTTCTACTGGAGTTAGTCGTTGTATCATGTTGAGATGATCGCAACTTGTACAGAGCGGATAATTGTCTTCAGGTCAGTGCTATTGACGCGTGCGTCAACTATATTTATCAAGTTTTGGTGTTCATATATCAAATTGTCAAGATCTGTAATTATTTGTAGCCAGTTATGTTGTAAATTGTTTGTCACTGTTATTCGGTTTACATATACGGCGTATTTTTACCGACCAAAATGACATGAAATTTAACTACTGCTCAAAATCTGATTGCAAATTATGATACTTTTTGCTATTTTTAATTAGAATATTGTGAATATTATGACCACTACTCAAGATTTTCCCCAAATTAACTCTAATGTATATGTGAATTTGAGCGCAATTCAATAGGTTAAGACACCTACTTCCGATCAGAAGTTCGTGAGTTCGAATCCCTCACTTTCACATACTATACTAAAAAACTCTAACATATCTTATCCGACTATATTTATACATAATTAAAGACTTAAAGTCATGTTTCTTTTATTATAATCTTCCCATTTACAAAAAGAATATATCAAATTCAACAACTTTCCTTTTAATATAGTTAACGGGTGGGATAACTTTAAATACAACAGATCAGTTTGCAAAATCAACAACTTACGTCAATATATAGATTTCAAATTATTTTCGTTTAAATTTTAGCTTATTCTACACCTTATTTTAAAAAGTTTAGCATATGCGGCCTAAACTGTTTTAATATTTTATTTTTCAGAACTAATGGCCACATTTGATAGAAAGGAAAAACGAGTAAAAAAATAATAATAATAAATATGATTAAAATCAATCTAAACAATATATTTCCTTTACAGTTTTTTTAAATTATAGATATGTAACTAATAATTATTTTAATAATTAGTCAAGTCAATTGCTTACTCAAGCTTATATGAATTATATTACTGAAAAAGTCAATGAATTGACAAGAGACTTCTATCACGAGTAGGACAATTCAAAGTTAAAAAAAATTAAAATATGTCGTAGTCCATAACATTTTTTTTCAAACTTGTAAGATCAAAATAGAAAGAATTCCACGAAATTCAATTAATTTTACCACTTCTCATCTTCTTCTTTTTATCATTAATTTAAAATAAAAAAGTATCATTTACAAATTTTATATATTATGTAATTATTTGATGATTAATTAACACATTGAAAACTTTAATTAGTGACTAGTCAAGTCAATTGCTTTGGAATTAAATTACTAAAGAAGTCAATGAAATGATAAGGAATTATTATCAGAGTAGCATAATCTAAAATTGAAAATTAAATTATGTAAGTTGAATAGTATGAATAGATCAAGGAGGTAATACTGTTTCAGAGACAGAAAGAAAAAAAAATGATGCAGGTCACATTATTAGTTTTCTGTGATGGATCGCTTACCATTAGTTTATTAATTGTTAGGGACTAAATTGCTAGATTTTAAAATTTAAGGACCAAATAAAATTATAACCAGTAAGAAAAAATGTAATTTACATTAAAATTTAAGTAGAAGATTGTCCTTAAAAAAAAATAAAGATGCATATATCGACGATCTATATGAGATAAACAAAGATGGATCATAAATGATCCAAAGTGAAAGAATATAATTCAAATAACATAATCTAATATTTAAGAACCACGACCCAAGTATAATTACAAATAAATACACACAAAAAGAAGGACTCGGAGTCTTTCATGAATATTCAGAGATACCATGCACATGAAAACATAAAATTCAATGGCTATATAGTGATGGGTGTCATAGTTTCAATGGATACGATGATGCTATCATCCGTAAGGTCGTCATCCCCAACCTCTAGAGAGAATGATGAAGACGTTCCAATTGATTGAACGTCCTCACTAATATCTGGACAATCTCGAGACTTTCTTAATCCTTCTAGTTCCAAATATACTTGTTTCATCGTTGGTCTTTCCTTCCCATTTGATCTTAAACATTTTGTGGCAAGTGTAGCAACACTGTTAACAACGTCCATGCTTTCTTCTGCGGCTACTATAATATCTAAAATTTCAACAAGCTGATTAGCCTTTTCCAGTGAAATGAAATAGTCTAACAAATTTCTACCATCATCTCTTGCAAAAGTAACTGGTAGCTTCCCCGTTAAAAGTTCCACCATCAAGACTCCAAAACTATATACGTCACTCTTTTCAGTGTATTGACTTGATCGGAAATACTCTGGATCTATATATCCAAAAGTTCCCAACACTTTTGTAGTTAAATGTGATTGATCACATGACACAAATCTGGATGTTCCAAAATCAGAAACTTTAGCACTATAGTTTTCATCCAAAAGTATGTTTAAAGATTTGATATCTCTGTGATAGATAGGAATTGAAGCGGCAGAATGCATGTAAGACATAGCTCCGGAAACTTCAGAAGCGATTCGAAGACGAGTTTCCCATGAAAGAGGAGGTGATTCTTCATAATTTTCCTTGTGAATATGGTGCGAAAGCGTCCCGTTATAAACAAATTCATAAACCAGCAAAGGAAACTCAGTTTCTAAACAACAACCTAGAAGCTTAACAATGTTTCGGTGATTAATTTGAGATAGGATAATAACTTCATTAATGAACTGTTCAATCCAGCTTGTGTCGATTTGCTTTGACCTTTTGATTGCAACAACAGTGTTGTCATGGAGAATCCCTTTGTAAACTGTGCCATACCCTCCTTGACCCAGAAATCTACTGTCGTTGTAGTTATCTGTTGCCTGTTCAAGTTCTTCTTGGGTATATATTTTCACTCTCTCACTGTCTTCAAGTAGTTTTTGCTGCAATAAGTGGCCACCATTTTGTTTGAAAAACTTTTTCTTATAAAGTTTGCGCCTTCTTTTCTTCAAGAGTAGTTGATTCCCTTTGCATCCGCAACAGAAACAACATGCTAATCCAATCAGACCAGCTGTCGTGCCAATAAAAAGATGTTACTTAGTAATCAGAAGGAGAGAAATTAAAAAATAAGTGCAAAATGAAATGAGATTGATAATAATTCTACATAGATAATTAAACCCGTAACGTTCAAACGGATTTACATACATTTAAACAAGATTCATTAATTATTTCCCAAATATCAAAATAAGATTTCATAAACTATATTTCATCTTAGATAATTAACTTATCTGATAAACAATAATCCATACTCATGTTGAAAAATTTAATGCGAGGCAAATATAAGAAAAGAAAATAATAATAATAAATATAACTTCATACACAGGAGCAAAGGGAAAGAGATAGACCTATTGGAATGAGGACTAAGTTCAGGAAAATGTACGAGAAAATGTCTGAAAAAGAAGAAGACATGTCTCTGCAATCCAATGAGTAAGGGTATATTCTGCAAGTGTCATCTTTACCCAATGGAACCAAAATAGGCGTAAATGGATATATGTGGCTCCAATTTGAAAGCATATTCGCTTCCAACACGCTTTTCTCCTCAACCCCAAAAGCCCTCGCCACGGATCCAATGGTCTCGTTTAGTTGTAGCGTATACACAATCAAAGAATGAACCCTGCTAGCAATCTGAGCTTTGGTAGGGCAAGCACATCGTATTGGAACTTCGAGCCTTCTGCCTATCGCAGCAGTATTGACAAGGGGATAGTCGTGGTTCTTATTTTTCAACGCCGAACAACTCGTCAAGCCTTGAAAAACATCATGCGCTATCTTTTCATAACTATCACCACTTTTAATAGTGTAGAGCATGTTATATTGATAGGAAGAACCCAGACATGAACATAATACCTTAGCAATGGACAAATTGTTGTCTCCTAATGTTATGTTGAAGTAATAGAAGTTACCAAAGTGAAGTTCATATCTGAAGGCGAAATAAGAATCACATGAGTAAATAGAATCGGTGCATAGGTATTCTTTTGGTCCTGAATTGTTGTTGATAGAACAACTCGTCTCGTTTCCTAAATACGACTGTTGGCAGAAGGATTGGTAAAGAAAGAGAGAAAAGAAGAGGATTATTAGAGGAAGAGCATGGAATGAAGAAAAAGATGTTGCCATCTTTTAGATGCTTGTTATTCTTCACATGGTTTGCTACGGAATTTTCTTTATATTGAGAGGTCATGTTTAGTTTGGTTCTTATAAATAAATGATTATATTCATGACTTTTTTTTTCTATATATTTATTTTAAAGAAAATCATTTTACTTATATACAAAATGTTTTTTAAAATAGAAAAAAGTTATATATCTATAGTATATATAAAAGGGGCTACAGGGAGAAACTTTGTATCCCTATTTTACCCTTTTAATTTCAATATTCTATATTCTATAGTATATATAAAAGGGGCTATAGGGAGAAACTTTTTATCCCTATTTTACCCTTTTAATTTCAACATTCCCATCGATATTTTGAGGACAATTTTGTACTTCAAATATAAATTTTTCTCTCTCACTCCCTCTTCCTCCCCCTTCCACACCACTTTTTTTTTTCATTTCTTTTAAAATATTTAATCTCCATAATTACAAATCTTACATTTCTCAAATTAATTTTCTTTTTCTAATAAACTCTCTCTCTTAAAATTTAGAATATAAAGTGTTAGAATAGGGAGGGTTTTGTCTCTTTATTTCTAGGTTAAAAAGTTATAACTTATTTTGAATTATAATTAATAAAGAATTTCAAAAATTTCGTAACTTTTTATTTTCTACAACTATATAAAGAGTTTTTTCTTACTCTTTCTCCCAATTCTTTCTTTATCAAAACTTGAGTTTCTTTTCTCTTTTGTATGTAAATTTTCTTCTTTAGTCAATGTCTTTGTGTTTTTTATATTTAGTTAGATTGTTTGATTGAATATTCAACTTTTTTAGTTATTTTTTTTTCCAAACGACTCAATCAACTGGAAAAAGGAAAGTGAAAATGAGTGATAAGATCGAATCACATTGGACGGATCCACTTTGGGATGGTACTTGATAACCGCGAGAACTCTCTCAATGACCTCCTCCTTGGAAAGGTGATCATCGTGTGATGAAAATAGCCGGAGCAATCCATCGGAACATGGCTACGGTTGGCATTCCCCGCGAGCTATGACAAAGAATTGGACCGGAACTCGAACATGGCAAAGAACGGCTGCCCTCAACGCATCTCTATCTCTCACTATTTTTTTTTGTCATTTTATTTTTCAATGACTCAAATAAGAAATTGAAACAAAGTTGTATTTACTTTTATGTATTCTTATGTTCAGGGAAAATAAGATGAAAAATCCATGAATATGTGTTTTTCTTAGAAAAAAAATTTAAGTAATTGAAAAATAATACTTTTAGTCACACTAACCGCATCAATGTGTGATGAGAATTATTGAGACGTTGTTTTATGAGATAAACATTGAAAATACGAAAAAACTTGGTGAGGTAAATATTTAGAGATAAAAAAAACCAAATTATATTATAAATTTTAACTATTTAATTAAATTTTATATTTTTAAACATTGAAATAAAAACTATGAAATTTCACGTGCACCGCACGTATTTCTTACTAGTATATATATATGTATGGGGAATTGAAACTCCTGCTAGCTTGATAATTAAAAGTATTAAAGTAATGCTCAAATGGACAGTTTTGTATATTTATTAATTTGCTTATTAGGATTAACTACATTAATTGCGTTGGAGGTGGAATTTTTCACCAGCCACATATTGACATATGATAAGACCATAAATCATGAATCAGTACGAAGATTCACACATAGAAATGACTACACCTTAGACCCTTTCCAGAGGCCAACCGAACTAGAGATGGTTGCGAGTCATGAATGAGACGAATTGACCTAAGTCTCATTCCTCGGTCGCCTGAGATGTCATTCCAGCCGAGTCGAACCTGAACCTCATCGGATGCCTGAGTTATCGACTGAGCTGATCAAAAGAACACTTCTGCAAGAATCTCATTTGGACACAATCTACGACAACACACCACGATTCCCGGGCGGTCAGAGAGCCATTGGAAGATTGTCAGAAGCTCTGCCCATAAATAAACTTCATTTTCAGGTACGCGAAACCAGATTCTCACTCAAGTATAGATCGACAAGCTATTAACTTGATCGTCAAAGTACTTACTCTGTTTTGTAGGTCTTCATTTGCTAGCAGGCTAGCACACCTAAGAAGTCAGCCATGCCCGAGCCAAACTTGGTGGACTTAGTCAAAATCTTGGTCAAAAAAGTTGAATTAAAATGTACTAGATTGCGGGAGTGTTTTCAAAAGTATTTTTAAGAGCTAGCAAAGCATTTAAAAATTTTGAAAAATATTTTTAATTATTTTTAATTATCCAAAGATATTGATAAAAAAAATTTGCACTCTTAAGCATAACTAATTAAATTTTAGTTTGATAATAATTTATTCAAAATTTTTTTGTTTCTTAAAATATAAGTTTATCGCTCAGTAATTTCTTTATTTTATTTTAACTATATTAGGTCTATTTCAAGAAATAAAATTTATTTATCTATTTTGCACTTTTTTTTTCCTTTTTTCTTATTCATGGTAATTTTCAAAAGTAAATTTAAGTCAGATTTTGAGCGTTTAAAAAAATATACACAATAAAATAAAGATATTATTAGTAATTAAAGAAGTTTCATTTTATGTAATAAATGAACTAAATCTATATATATAAAGGGGTTACATACCGGGGAGAAACTTTCTCAACCCCATTTTATCTTCTTTTTTTTTTTCTAATTTAAAGATTTGGATCAAGTTTGTCCGTCAAATATAAATTTATTTGTCCTACACCCCCGCTCCCACGCCACTACCCCTCAATTTCTCTCTATTATTATTATTTTTTAATATTCTTTCAAAATATATTATTTCATCTCCACCTCTACAAAATCTATGTTTCTCAAATTAATTTTCTCTCTTGTTCCTGACATTTATATTTCTTTCTCCTCCACTGTTGATTAATTCTTTCTTCATCCCCTTAAATTTTTTACTCAAATTAACCCACCTAAATAACCTTTTATTACTTCTTCTCTTTTTTATCTTTAACAATTCTAACTTAATTTTGCATTTAAGATGTTTGAATTTGAATATGAAAAGTTTTATCGTCTATTTAATTATAGAATATTAAAAGATTGTAGAATAAATCATCGCTCAATTAAGCTCTTATAAGCTCATTTTGGCTTTTTGGACAGTATTAATTTTAGTCTTTTTAACAATGTAATGTAAATAGGAGAAAACAGATGCTAGCATAAATATTGCTAGATTAAATAATTAATCTTTATTAAAAATATGTTTATTTTGAGTGATTAAGTAATAATAGTTATAACCCGCTAATCTAAGTATAGTTCAACGAGTTAAGGCAAGACACCTATGATCGATTCAAACGTCGTGAATTTGAATCCCTCACCCCACTTGTACTAAAAAAAATTATAAATGCCTCTTAACATTATGATCATACATGAATGATTAGAATATGAAAAGACTGACTAATGACAATAATTTAAAAAAATTAGAATATAAAAAGTTTTTGTCTATGTCTAAAAATTAACATAAAAAAAATCATGACTTGACCTTTAATTATAATTAATAGTAGAATCTCAAAGTTATTGAAATTTTACCAGTTATACAACTTTTTTTAACTTCTACTCCATTTTTATTTTTTTCTAGAAAAGTTTTGCGTTTTCCTCATATATGCCAATTACCGCTGAGCTATGCTTGATTTGACATAATTCTTTAATTTAAAAATTACAAAAATTTTAATTATTTAGTATAAATTGATAATCATCATTTAATTTTAATTTTAATGTATGATCAAAACAATACCTTAAAATACTTGGTCAAATTTTAACTAAATATTAATGAATCTTATTTGTATTGAAAATTGCATCCACATTGTTAAATATGAATTTACGTCCAAATCCAAATTAGACTTTTTTTACAAAAACATTTACGTGACATTAATATAATGACATTTGAATCGGTCTATTTGATTGATTCATATAATCTAATTAACAAATTTTAGATGTTTATTTATAATTGACCAAATCCATTGTAAATCATGAGATCAATATGGAGAAAATAATTGCTGATATTTCTCACTTAACAAAATTAAAGCTTGTTTCATAATGTTTATGTTATTGGTTTTCTATTTAAAAAAACAATGCATGTTACTAACTTTTTTCTTCGATATTTAATCTAATTTTTTATTAAAAAAAAAAAAAGAAACCATTACCAAATTTGTAAACTGATGCTGCTTTTTATTATTTTTTATAAGTATTTCGTTTTATTTTATTTTATTTATCTAACTTTGAATTTTGTGAAAGACAAGATAATTTGATAACAAATTCAGTTCTCAATTTTTGAAATTTGAAATAAAATTGAGGTTAAATCAACATACATTATAAGCATTTTTTTTTATTACAACAAGTGGGGGTGGTTGGGTTTTACGTCCTAAACTCGTGGTTTGTAAACATAAAACAAATATTTATTCAATAAAGTTGTTATTGATATTTCTCTTTAGTTCATCCTATTAGCTCGACTCATCCAAAATAAGTATCTTAAAAATTTTATAATCTCAACAAATCTCTAATTGTATTTTTTTTATATTTAAAATCAATAATAATAAGATGAATGAGACTTCAATTACTATGCTATATCTATAAGAGAACGTACAAATGTATTTGAATATCTTGAGTTGTAGAAGTGAAGATTTGTTTCGTATTATTTAATGATCATCTTGTATTTCATAAAAATTGGGGGCAATATAATCCTTGCATTAATCCAAATCCAATAAACTAACATCCGAAGTTATGTCATGTAACTGAAACAGTATATAACAGATATACAGTATATATTTAATATAAATCATATATATTTGATATACAGTGTATATATACAGTATATATTCGATATACAAGTGGATAATGTTCCAGTAGTAACCTAAAGGGTCTATAGTATATGGAAGGTTGGATACCTTATCCTGGTAACACTATGGATACGACCCACTTTGTAATAGTTACAAATGACTTGATCCAGGTCGTTCGTGTGGAGACATGCGAGTGAGGGTATTCTATACAATGAATTTGTATAAGACCAGACCACGAACTAATTAATCTTTAGATTTAACATCGTTAGCTAATAGATTAATATTTCAATAGGATGATCGGGTAACTCGATCTCAATCCTGAGTGAGTTATGGACTCCTCCATGTTAGGACTCATCCTTTTTTTTTTGTATGGGTGAGAGTGGTCCGAGTCGCCGACTCAATATTCCCACCATTTTGGGGACAAGACCGAGTGGGGAGCTAGGAACCTAACTACACAAGATGGAATTCCCTCCTTCTCGACTTTAGGGTAAGTAGATGAGTGTTCTCTTAAGTGACTCCGAGACTTGAACAAGGGGTCCCACCCTCTCACTGGCCTAAGACGGACTTCCAGTTATTGGTTGGACTATAACTGGGTTGTCATTAGAGGATCAGAGGTATTTAAGGTACAAGATGTAACACAGAGGTAAAACGGTAATTTTACCCGGCTGTAGCTACAAACACTCATGAAGGATTGACTTACCGTTAATGGTCAAAATCCGTGGACGCAAAATATTCTATAGTGAGAAGAGTGCAGTTGTAGGACTTTAGTGGAGTGATCGACAGTTAACAAATGTTGATTAATTTGGTTAATGAGTTTAATCAATTAATCTCGTATCGTTGGAGCTTCTGATTTGTAGGTCCATTAGGTCCTCTTGCTAGCTCGTAAAGGATAGTTAGAACAATTAGTCTTGAAAAGAATTTGAATTGTTCAATTTCGTTAAAGGGAATTTAAGGTTAATTGTATGAGATGCAATTAATATAATGTATGTTGATACATTATACATTATAATATAAAGTTAATTTTGAATTGGATTCAAAATTATGAGAGATGGATATTAGAATTTGATTCTAACATACTTGATAATTTAAGTTTAATTTAATTAAATATGTTTTAATTAAATTAATGTGATATATTAATTTAGTTAAATTAAATTATATTTAATTTAATTTAATTAATAATTATTTTTTTAATTAATTAAATTAGATTTAATTAATTATTATTTTAATTAAAATTGTTTTAATTACAATAAACTAAAAGAACGGAAAAAAAAGAAAGGAAAATTGGGGGGAAAACCTCCCACTTTCCCCCATTAATGGTGGGAAGTGGGAAAGTGGAGATTGCACCACTCTTCCTCCCTTATAAAAAGGGAAGGTTCTCCCCTTTCCTTGATGCTCTCTCGGTCGCCGATTGAACGAGTTTCGGAAACTCTATCTTGAAAACTGCTCTCTCAATCAATCAATTTCCCTTTCAATTATAAGACGGTTCCCACAAACCGAGTTCTTAACTTCCAGAGGACAGTAAGGAAGACTTTGTGGTGGCGTTGGTGTCTACATTGAACAGGTGCCTTCAAAGGTACGTATCACTAACTTCCTTTTACTCATGTTTAATTATGTCTTTTCTTTGTTGCTAAAACAAGTTCGAAGCACATGCGTTCGCTCGTTTCCGCTGCAGGATTCGATCCCTTCAGGGGTGAGAGGATTCAAACTCATGATCTCTTGGTTAGAGACAAGTGTCAATTACCGCTAAGCTAAGCTCATGTTGGCTACATTTATAAGCATATTCCGCGAGGTGATATTCTAGTGAGCTGACTAAAGGAGCTTAGTAGAGCGAGTTGAATAGGAAGACGTGCAAGCAAAGAAACAACACTTCAATGCTCAAATCAGTACAAAGTCTGAATCTCTTCGCAGTTTCAAATATAATTGCATACCTAATTGATGGAGTGATGATGTATTTATAACGATTAGGTAGAATCTTTCCGTTGAGAGAGTTATGACAAAGATAACGTAGACAATCTTGACAACCATTTATTTTGTTGGAATCGCTCCCAAATGTTCATGGGTAATATTGTAACGCCCCGCGTTACTCAGGTTAGCTTGCCCCGAGTTCCGGAAAATTTTATAACAAAATGGATTTTTATTTATTGTTTTATTGATTTATTTCATTGTTATTTTTAATTGATTCATCAGTGATCTTATTTAATTTA